TGTCTAAATCTTAAGGGCAACAAGTCTTGCATCCCTTGCAGGTATGTCCTGGATGATGAGTACACCAGCTCGGTAGGTTCCAAATTCCCGGTCCGATGGTCTCCGCCAGAAGTGCTTATGTACAGCAAGTTCAGCAGCAAATCTGACATTTGGGCTTTTGGTAAGTAGATGCGAACATACAGGTTAGGGCGCGGAGATGGCTCCGCGGGTAAGCCAAACCGCTTCTCATGCAAGCCTTACAACTCGAGTTCAGATCCCCAGAACCCACTTCAGATCCCCAGAACCACATAAAAGCTGGAAGCGGCAGTGAATACAGCTGTAATCTGCGATCCACTGTACCCCTACCAGCAGACAGGAGGCAGAGGCTGGAGAATCACAAGTAACTCAAGGGCCAGATAGCCTGTAGAATCTACCAGAAAAACACCATGGGAGCCCCCTGTCTCTAACAAGGTGGAAGGTGTAGATCAATACCCATGGTTGTTATCTGACCTCCACTGTATGCTATGATGTAGATGAGCACACACGCGCACACACACACACACACACACACACACACACACACACACACACACACACATTGGTGAGGAGAAGAAAGAATATAGATTATACAGCTCAGAGAAGAACGTAACAGGACAGTTCAAATTTGCATTCCCATTATCATTCATCTGATCCTTGGGTGCTTCTTGTGTGTCAGGACCCATAGGGGTTTCTGAGGACAACCAGCGCAAACTGGACATAATCTGTGTTTTCTTAGAACTTACACTATATCCTGGGAAACAAACCATCCAGTATTCAATGGCTTCTGAATACTGATTATGTACTAGGCACTCTGCCAGACCCCAAAGCTACCGAGACAAACAAGACACTGCGGCTCTTCTAGGGGAACTAATGGTCTAGCATAGTGCAGCTCTGATAACGATCAGTGCAGCCAGGACCACGGCCCTTGTCTGAACAAAATGCAAAATCCACAGGGGGAGAAATCAGCTTCTTCTAATCTTTACGGTTCATCCGGAAGGATTAGGCCCCAAGTGTTCCAAAAAAGACTGAATACACTTCTCTTTTTTATCTTCTAGGGGTTTTAATGTGGGAAATTTACTCCCTGGGGAAGATGCCATATGAGAGATTTACTAACAGTGAGACAGCAGAACACATTGCTCAAGGCTTACGTCTCTACAGGCCTCATCTGGCATCAGAGAGGGTGTATACCATCATGTACAGCTGCTGGCATGAGGTGAGTGTTGCAGCGTTCGCTCTCAAACTGTTCCCTGGAATTTCCTTACTTTCTCATTGAGCTGGCCAGTCCCCTCTCTCCATGGTCACTTGTCAGCGGGGCACAGGCTTGCAGCTGCATGTGCTTTCTTACTCTGGCCTGAATCCGAATCCTCTGATGGCTTTTCCACGCCCACCCTACTCTTCACTAGAGTATCATTAGCAGAGCAGACCCTAGTACCTATATCAGCTTTAAGAGTGTGCGGTGGTGGGGGGTGGTGAGGGGTGGTGAGGGGTGGTGGTGGTGGTGGTTGGGTTGTGGGACCATACCATCTACCAAAGGCACGCAGGTAAGACAACAGGCATTGCCAAGTCTGTAATCATTATCTGGGACGCTCCTTCCACTTTACTAGCTGCCAAGCTTTTCTGGTTGAGGGTCTAAATGAGACTTTAAAAACCCTGTTGCTTAGAAGAAACCTAAAGTAGTTTTTGTTTGTCTGCTTTGGTTTTGAGGTTTTGATTCTAAAATATTTTTAAATTATTTGATTGTTTTTCATGTATGGGTATTTTGCTTGTATGTATATCTATGCACCACATTCACACCTGCTGCCCGTAGAAGGCAGAAGAAGGCATCAGGTCCCCTGGAACTGGAGTTATGGACAGTTGTGAGCCACCATGTAGGTGCTGGGAATCAAACCTGGGTCCACTGGAAGAGCAGCCAGTGCTCTAAATACCTGTGTCAACTTTCTAGCCTACTTAAAAATACAATATATTATAGATTTGAGGGGGTACAGTTGTAGTATTTTAGAAATAAAGATCTTGTTTCACTGCTCTAAAAATGCGTTGCCGGGGCTGGGGAGTGTGGCTCAATTGGTAGAGTGTTTACCTAGCGTGAATGAGGCCTTGGTTTCATTTACACACCTCATAAGCCAGGTGTGTGGTGCAGGGTTTGTTCGACACAGGGCTTCGAATTGTCAGGCTGGCCTCAAACTCATTATGTAGCCAAGGTTGACTTTGAACTTCTGGTTCTCCTGCCTCCACCAGCCAAGTGCTGAAGTCACAGGCATGCACTAATATGCCCTACTCCTAAGGATGTTATTGTTTTATTATTATTTTGAGATAGAGTCTCTCTACATATTCCTGGCTATCCTGGAACTCACTCTGTAGACCAGACTAGCCTCGAACTCACAGAGCTCCACCTATCTCTTCCTCCCAAGTGTCATAATTAAAGGCATGTGCTACCCTGTCCAGCCTCCTAAGGCTTCTTCTTCTTCTTCTTCTTCTTCTTCTTCTTCTTCTTCTTCTTCTTCTTCTTCTTCTTCTTCTTCTTCTTCTTCTTCTTCTTTTTTCCGAGACAGGGTTTCTCTGTGTAGCTTTGGTGCCTGTCCTGGATCTCACTCTGCAGACCAGGCTGGCCTTGAACTCACAGAGATCCACCTGGCTCTGCCTCCTGAGTGCTAGGATTAAAGCCATGTGCTACCCTGTCCAGCCTCCTAAGGCATTTTCTTCTTCTTCCTCTCCTTCTTCTTCTTCTTCTTCTTCTTCTTCTTCTTCTTCTTCTTCTTCTTCTTCTTCTTCTTCTTCTTCTTCTTCTTCTTCTTCTTCTTTTCTCCAAGACAGGGTTTCTCTGTGTAGCTTTGGTGCCTTTCCTGGAACTCACTCTGTAGCCCAGGCTGGCCTTGAACTCACAGAGATCCACCTGGCTCTGCCTCCTGAGTGCTGGGATTAAAGGTGTGCGCCACCACTGCCTGGCAGCATTTTCAAAAATATAAATTACTGGGCTTCTTTTCGAGAGATTCTGGAAAGGTACATCTGCTATGGAACTCAGAAATCCTTTCATGTTTCCCGAAACTTCTGATACTTGTCTAGTTTTGAAAACCACTGATTTGAATACTAAGAAATTGATGATCCTTTGGTTCTGACAGATTGAGGCTATTCTGTCATGAATCCTTCCTGAATTATCAAATACGTCAGGGCAACTAGGCCTATGTAGTCCCAACACTCAGGAATCTGAGGTCGGAGGGTTTGCCATGAGTTTCAGGCTAGCCTTCCTGGGCAGCCTGAGATATAGAGTGACATCTTATCTCAAAACAAACACCAAAAAACTAAAATTTTCTTTTCAAAAAGACCATATCTCAACTAGGTGTGGTGGCACATGCCTTTAGTCCCAGCACTTGGGAGGCAGAGGCAGGTGGATCTCTGTGAGTTCGAGATCAGCCTGGTCTACAGCAAGTTCCAAGACAGCCAGGGCTGCACAGAGAACAAACAGATAAAAAAGAGTAATCCTAAAAAACGTTTGTATAGCAGCCAGGTGGAAGTGGGGATAGGAAGTCCTTGCCTGACTTCTGGAAAGAGATGCAAGGGATAAGGCAAAAGTTCCTAGCATGATGGGCTGGAGAGATGGCTCAGTGGTTAAGAGCACTGGCTGTTCTTTCAGAGGACCCGGGTTCAATTCTCAGCACCCATACAGCAGCTCACAACTGTCTGTAACTCCAGTTCCAAGGATCCGACACCCTCACACAGACATACATGCAGGCAAAACACCAATGCACATAAAATGAAAATAAATTATAAAAAAATAACTTGAGTTGCTAAAGATGAAAAGCACACAAGGACTTTATGGAGACTGGCTTTTTCATTTTTCTTCTTTGTGTGTTATCAAGAAGATATGTGGCTAGGTTTTTAGTACATACTTAATAAGCCTAATACTTTGTAATTTACTACTGGCTTCCTTGTGGATTCTGGATTCTACACTGTAACACTTGTCTGTTTTCTTTGGTTTTAGAAAGCAGATGAACGTCCTAGTTTCAAAATTCTCTTGAGTAACATTCTAGATGTCATGGATGAAGAATCCTGAACTGGCTGATAAGCTTCGTGGATCTACTCCTCTCTCCTACAAGTCCTAATTCCACTTTTTCTGAGGGCTCCCAGGCTCACGGGCTCTGTAGCCTTCCATGCTCCTACTGAATACATAAAGGCCCCTGTGTATCGAGGAATGCCTTTCTTCTTTCAGTCCCCGGCATAATGCTTCTGAGAAAAGGCCGAGGAATTTCTGTGCCTGGTATTGCCCATGACTTCAAGACTCCTAACAGACTGAATTTGGGATGGGAACATTTTGGGGGAGGGAATGTTGAAAATAGCTCCACTAGATGTCTAACAGCTTGTTGGGTAAGTGTTAAGAGTTTGGGGGCAGGACAGACTGGAATGGTGCCATTAAAATGGGAGGGATGGATTGTTTTGATAAAATAAAATTATTGGAAAGAGTGAAGTTATCTCCTATTTTAATTCATCACACAGCCGCCCTGAAGCTCCCTGTTTGAGAATTGCAGAAAATCGTGTGTTATTAGTTTGGCATATTCCTAATCTATTTGAGAATTGCAGAACACCGTGTGTTATTATCTTGGCGTATTCCTAATCTAGAACTCGACAGAATCCACATTTCACCCCCTCTTTCTCCTGTTAAAGCCTGCCTGTTAATTGTAAAAGAATCCACAAGCCTTCCACCGTGCTTGACACACAGTAGACACACAGTATCATTTGAATGGATCTTAGTTAGGGACAAACTCAGCCAGATCCTCATTTCTCTACATCAAGAGGAAAACCCCATCAAAGAACTGGACCCAGGGGTCCAGGGTAGCCAGTTCATTCGCAGAAGAGTTCTGGCTGGGGGCAAAGCCAAGGCTGAGAAAGCGCGGGCCAATTTGGAAGTGGGCAGGGCGGAGTTGCAGGGCCGGCCCTTCACTGGACCACGTGGTGTGAAGTAACTTCCTCTTTTCCTTTCTACTAGTCTTTTCTTTTTGAATCTCCGCTCCCACGGTGCCGCGGCGCTCCAGGCCACGGCCAGGCGCTACGGCTGGGGTGCGGCGGGGAGTGGATCTTACCCCCCCCAACCCCCGCGGAGACAGCGGAGCGCGGTCGCCTGCGGGGAGCAGGCAGAGGCGGCCGGGTCGCCTGTCCAGCGCCGACGCAGTGAGCTCACAGGGCGGTCCCCAAGGCGGGGCGGGGCGGCGCGCGCTGGGGGGTGGAGGAGGGAGGTTGTGGTTCCGGTTCCGTCACCCAGACACGTGAAGGTCGGCAAGTCGGTTCTGTGCTCGCCTCGGCCCGCGTGGTCGCGCCGGGATGGATTCCTCCTCGTCGTCTTCGGGCGCGGGTTTGGGCGCGGTGGACCCGCAGTTGCAGCATTTCATCGAGGTGGAGACGCAGAAGCAGCGCTTCCAGCAGCTGGTGCACCAGATGACGGAACTTTGCTGGGTGAGGATCCCTGGGCTTGGATCTGGGTGCTATGCCTACTTTCCCAGTGCCCTTGCCCCCATGGGACTTGCTAGGATGTCGGGAACTTCAGTGTGGGTGGTCTTGATTGCACTCTGGGTTCTCAGATTCCTTAGGCCGAGTCTGAACTTCTCTGGAAGACCGTAGGTACAGAGAGAGGGTTGGGAGTCACAGGCTCACACCTCTGTCCCACCCAGCACTCGGAGGCACCTGAGGTTGAAGCTGTAGTGCTGGCCTTTAAGACTGATCAGAAGGCCCAGTCCTGGAATTTTAGGGTGCCCGAATCCCAGAGAGCCCATGATTTATTTCTGGACTCCTCGGGATTTACCTAGATTACCCAGTTATAACCCCTCCTGATGAAAAGACGAGCGGCTCTAACTCATTAAGTATAAAAGTGGCATAATCTCTCCCAACATACACATTTATTTGCCATCACGGTGAGTTGTTGTGTAATACCAAGACATTAAGGTCTGAAGGTTGAGAAATTGAGTCGGCTCAGTGAGGGGACTTTGGCAGAGGGGCAGAAGGCGTTTGTTTGTAGTTGAGATCAAAGTGTTCTGGTTGCCAAGGACAAGCACACTGCCCTCCTGTGACATAAAAACTTAAAGAATTTAGAGGCCAGGGATATTATTCGTTGGAATTAGAGAGACTCTAAGTCTTGTGTATAAAGCAGAGAATCATGAACGAAATGTATTACAAAGGTTTCTAACTATAATACAGACATTGATTTCCTTGGTCCTTTTCCTGTAAACTTATGGATTGCTGGACTGTGCTCTTTAGAAATGCTTGGATTAATTCTGGCTTGCCTTGGATCAGAGGGCTTCAATTCTTTGTTTGTTTGTTTGTTTTTGAGACAAGTTTTCCTGTATTCCAAGCTAGTCTCATACTGAATGGATAGCTGAGAATAGCCGAAAGTGACCTTGAAAATGGTTTTCCTGCCTCCTCCAGCTTTTTATGATTTTTTTTAAAAAATTGTTTCTTTTGAGTTGGGCTTTGCTATTTACTCCTGGCTGACCTGAAATTTATAGAGATCTTTTTCCTGCCTCTGCCTTCTGATTGGTGGGATCAAAGGTATTCACCACCAAAATATGATATTCTCTTTCTTTCTTTCTTTCTTTCTTTCTTTCTTTCTTTCTTTCTTTCTTTCTTTCTTTCTCTCTTTCTCTCTTTCTCTCTCTCTCTCTCTCTCTCTCTCTCTCTCTCTCTCTCTCTCTCTCCCCTCCCTCCCTCCCTCCCTCCCTCCCTTCCTTCCTTCCTTCCTTCTTTCTTTTCTTTCTTTCTTTTTTTGTGTGTATGTGTGTGTTTGAGACAATGTTTCTCTGTGTGACAGCCTTTGCTGTCCCAGTCACAGAGATCCTCCTGCCTCTGCCTCTAGAGTGCTGGGATCAAAGGCATGTGCCACTGTGCCCAACTTCTTTTTCTTTTTTAAAAAAGTCTCTGATTGATCATGTTTGGGTGGGAAGTAGTGTGGTTAATGACTGCTTTAAGAATAATGAACTAGGAGAGGAAGAATTCATTTTCTTTCAGTGGTACAGCCAACTGAAGTTTCTCATGCTCCTATAGAAGAACCTTGTATGCTCATGCAAGCAACCCAAAACTCCAGTGGATCATAAAGAAAGGGGCGTACACTAGGGAGAGGACTTGTTGGGAAGTAGAGGGCATTGAGAGGGTAATGGGGAATGTGATCAAATTGTATCATATACATGCATTTCATATATATACATGTATGAAATTGTCAGTGTGTTTTTTAAATCTGTGAACTCCAGTTTCCCGCTCCTCCTGAGGGGATACAAGAACCTTTGGTACATGTTGGGTAGGATGGTACAGTCCAGAACTTGGGAAGCAAAGACAAAAGGATCTGAAGTTCCCGGCCAGCACAGAGAGTTCCAGCCACCTAGGCCTACATAGTGAGACCCTGTCTCACAAGACATACTACTCTGTCTTAAGGAAATAGGCTTAAAGAATGTCGCTTCATAGATTTTCTTTGTTGATTGGTTTCAGGGTACCTAACTAGTTGTTTTGTTGTTTTGTTTTTCCGAATAGTTTCTCCATGGCCGGCCTCAAACTCAGATCCCGCTGCCTCCCAGGTGCTGAGATAAGGTGTGTGGCCGCCACCACCGCCTGAAAAAGGTTATTTCACTTGTATTTTTTTTTTTTTTGCCTCTTTTCTCACTCTGTTATATCCAAGGTGTGCCATTTTCTGGCCCATTGACTTTGAGCATACTCTGTCAGAGTTTCCACTGGTAAAAATGAGGATTGATAATGGTGTTTTCCATTGACTTGTTGCAAAATGTAATGTAAACCTGTGTCCAATTGTTTGACAATTGGTAAGATGCTAAATGTGAAAATTTTTATATTAATTTTTTAGTAAAAAGGCAGGGTCTTCATCATGGCATATGTGTTCTTAACGTGGATTTCTTGCCTCCCTTACAATCTCTTTCTCTCCTCAGTCTTCTAGTTACATCACATATGTATAGATGCACACATGCTATGCAATTTTAAGTCTAGGTGTTCTAGGTAAGAGAAAACACAGGTCCAAATGTATTAGCAAATCAAATGTTTAGGTGAAATTACTTCTATAAGCAAAAGGCTTTTGTTTGCAAGTTCTCTTTGTGATTCTGTGTCTTATTCTGAACAGGAGAAGTGCATGGATAAGCCTGGGCCAAAGTTGGACAGTCGGGCTGAGGCCTGTTTTGTGAACTGTGTTGAGCGCTTCATTGACACAAGCCAATTCATCTTAAATCGACTGGAACAGACCCAGAAGTCCAAACCAGTCTTCTCAGAAAGCCTTTCTGACTGATCTCAGCATTACCTCTTTGGAAAAGTAGTTCAAGAAATGAAGAGCTGTTGATGGGATGGTTGAAGAAATGGCTATGGGGGGGGGGTTGGCTCCCAGTTTTCTTTATCATCTTGGGACATCTTGTCACCTGAGAACGAACAAAGACCAATTTTTATGTATGGGAGTTGAGAGTCATGTGTATTTGGTTGTGTTTTTAAAGCTAATCATGTGAAAATAATTGACAGATAAATGAAATTATGAGATGCATATTACTGTGTATGGGACTATGCTTTCTCAAGGTCCCTTAACTGCTTTATATAATTTTGATAGTGGAAGTGCTTTCTATAATTTGATAGTGGGACCACATAGGGTAAATCTCTATTTGTATGGATTCATTTCTGATTTTTTTAGGGAGATCTTAGTGTCAGAAAGAGTAACAGTGGGGAAATAACCTGGCACTGTTTAACCATGAGCTTTCTTATCTTTATAAGTTCGACTATCAGAGCTGAAAAAATTCTATGGGTGTTCATATAATCCAGCCTTTTAGGTTGTCTTTCTCCCCTATACTGTGATTTACTTAAATATCAAATTGAAAATATGGTCTCAAGGTAGAACGGGCAGCCTGAGAATCTAGAGGGCTTTAGTTAGTTATAAAGGAATCTAGCTCATGAGCAAAATTCGTACTACCAGACTGCCACAGGAGGAAGTTAACCTACTCTGTATATCAGGATACAAAACCTTCACAGATGTGCCTAAAGAGATGCTAATGATTTAGGCCAGTCAGAAACTAACAACAGTTTCAGGTAGAGGTGCATGCCTGATGTCAGTCATAAATTCCATTACTGCATTCTTTCTTTCGGTCACTGAAATAAAAGCTCTGCAAGATCAACTTGTGATGGTGAGGTTTTCTATTTTGGGTTTTTATCTGCAACTCAGATTTCATGTGGGCGCATTTCAAGACAGAAATGTAGTTAGTCTCTCCTAGAGGTCCCTGGCGTTTTGTGAGAAGAAAGTACTTTCAGATGAGATGAGAAGGGAAAACAACTTCTGTGCTAACACTTAGGTCTCTGATAGAAGAGCTTATATTGAATTCCCCTCTTGTTTTTAAATCCTCATAGACTGGAGTGTAGACCTAAAGGAAAACTGCTTAATACAAATCCATGAATGTGGGCAATTACCTACTTCTAGCATTTCCTCATGGGCACCACAGGGAAATTTTTGCAATTGGGATGAAAATGTAAGTCAACAAACTAAAGTGCCTTTTCCAAGCCAGCCTCGCTGTTTGGTAAGAGGGATTCAATAGAAGCAGCCGGAAGGCTGAAGAGATTAGTTCTAGCCAAGGGAGACATAAAGGTTTCAGTGTAGTAAGTTTCATTAAGAAACAGCACAGGACTGGAGACGTTGCTCAGTGGTTTAGAGTGCACTTGTAGCTCTTGCAGAGGACTTGGGTTCAGTTCTCATCCAGATGATAGTTCACAGCCATCCTAACTAGTTCCAGGGCATCCAAGGTCTTCTGGCTTTCCTGGCACTAGGCACACATGATACACATGCACTTGTGCACGTCTTCATGCACATAAAATTACATCTAAAAAGAATTTGAATAAAAAGTATGATCAGGGTGTTAGGAGATGTTTGTGGAGCTTTGCTGTTTTCTAACAAATAGCTGAGACTTGAGAGGACCAAGTGACCAAGCTTTAGTGCCAAGGAGAGTTGTTTGGCAGAGATAACAATCCAAGTGCCTCAGGGTAGAAGCCACATGCCATGAGATGAAACACGAAGTCCAGTAGCATGAGACAAGATTGAGGAAGGTAGGACAGTGTGAGGCCTTTTGGCTTTTACCTGGCATAGTGGAAAGCCATTTGAGTGGGTTTTTTTAAGCAGGTGTGTGATGTCATAACTTCCTGCTTGTAGTACTAGTAACAATGCCATTTTCATGTGGAGCAGAGTTTAAACACTGAGGGTAGGTATCTGACACACATATCTTTCATATGTGTCAAGGTAAAAGATGGCACAGAGTTTATTTTTTTTCTATTTTTTTGTTTTGTTTTGTTTTGAGACAGAGTTTCTCTTTGTCTCGGCTGTCCTGGAGCTCACTAGCTAGACCAGGCTGATCTCAAACTCAAAGAGATCCTCCTGCCTGTGCCTCCCAAGTGCTGGGATTAAAACCATGTATGTACCACTATGCCTGGAATTAGTCTTCATTCTTAAAATACTGTGTCTCATTGTATGTATGCACAAAGTGAAATGCTTTCACTTTATAGTGTTATCACATAATCAGCTAATAGAGCAAAGAAGAGTATGTCAGGTTCGGACACTATGCTTTGGCACCATTGCTGTGTTCAGCACCGTTAGGTACAAGGTAATGGAGAAGAAAAAGTATAACATATGCCCCTGCTTCCAGTAATTTACAACCATTGGAGTTTTGGCAATCTCAAGAATGTGTTTTCACACCTTGATTAAAAGAGGCGTACTGTCAGTCCTGCAATTCCAAACCTTGATTTCCAATATGTTTACATTAGAAAACTCAGGACTGAAATGAAAGGAAAATCTGAACTGAAATCTTAGAAGCCTAATATGTAGTAAGAGGCCAAGCTGCTCTGCTGTGGAAGGTACTTCCTAGAAGCTCCGCTGTTGCCTTGACTGCCCATATATTGACCGGAGCCTAAGACATTGTCTTAGAGGCCCTAAAGATTTCCCAAGCATCCTGCCTGTCTCTGAAATCCCCACTGCTGAGTCCATGAACTAATATTAATTAGCAAAGATAGATAGAAGGGAAACAAGGACTTCAAAATGAGGACAATAAGCATCTTTATAAGGAGTTTGAAGTCTAAAATGTAGCAAGCCAACCCATGGAAAGTTTTTACAAGAGACAAAGGAAACAATTGATAGCCCTTTCTTTAACCAAAACCAAAACAACAGAAATTGTAATACCAAACTTTTTCTGATAAAATACTGAAACAATCTTGGACTAGGGAGCAGTTATTTCAAAGATTATGCACTGGTACAGTTCTCTTAAAACTTCATTCAGGCTTGTGTTTATTGGCACGTAATCGAATCAAAGGCTGATGGAGGAATGTCCTGTATTTTATGTTTTTCATCTATGTAGGCATGTGGGTATTATTCTGATTCATCCATCTCAAGTATATGGTTTAGATATTTTTTAATGTATTCCGTGGGTTCATGTATTGAAGACTGGGCCCAGTGTAGTGATAATGGAAGGGCAATTTAAGAGATGGGACCTTCAGGCTGGAGAGATGGCTCAGTGGTTAAGAGCATTTGCTGCTCTTGAAGAGGCCCTGGGTTCAGTTCCCAGCACCCACACGGTGGTTTACACTGTTTGTAACTCCAGTTCCGGAGGATCCAACTCCCTCCTCTGGCCTTCGTGGGCACCAGGCACTCATAGACATACATGTAGACAAAACACTCATACAAAAACAAAAAGAACAGCAATAGAGGTAGGAGCTGAGGGCAGGTCATTAAGTCACTGACGAAGCTGACCCTGGGTAGGGTTAAGGTACTTTCAGAGGCCACTGAGTTCTTCAGAGAGTGAGTTACTAGAACGAGCCTGACCCAGGTTGCTATTTGCCTTCTCATTTGTCATTGCCATCTCTTCACCCCAGCCGTGCTCCCACTTTTGCCACCCGCCATGAAGTGACAGCTTGAAGGGGAGCCCCTGCCACAGCCAGTGTTGTGTTTGGACACTCAGATTCCAAATCTTTAAATTCATCTCAATTCTTTACAGAGTTAGCCAGCTAGGGGCATTTTATTAGAGTAATAAAAAACATTATTATCAAGCCAGGCAGTGGTGGCCTACACCCTTAATCCCAGCACTCGGGAGGCAGAGGCAAGTGGAGCTCTGTGAGTTACAGGCCAGTCTGGTCTACAGTGCTAGTTCTAGGACAGCCAAGGCCACACAGAGAAACCCTCTCGAAAAACAAAACAAAAAAGCCCAGATTACTGTATTATCAAAATGCAACAGGTATGGACTAAAAGGAACATCTCCAAAGGCACAGAAAAAAAAGAAGCTAAAAATATGTAAAGGACACCACAGGTAGTAAGTACCAATGAAATTTCTTTTTTTTAAAAGATTTTATTTATTTATTATGTATACAGTGTTCTGCCTGCATGTATGTCTGCACACCAGAAGAGGGCGCCAGATCTCATTACAGGTGGTTGTGAGCCACCATGTGGTTGCTGGGAATTGAACTCAGGACCTCTGGAAGAACAGTCAGTACTCTTAACCTCTGAGCCATCTCTCCACCCCCCGATGAAATTTCTAAGAGCATAGGTTGCTATTGCTTGAGTTAGGAAAAGAACGACATAGGAAGGACTGCAGATGTACTGACCATGTCCAAGCCCTGGTTTAGACAGTTCATTTAAATGGTTGCAAAGATCACATGACAAGTCAAGCACATCCAGGTTAGGCTTGTGCTCCTAATTAGCTTTCCTAAATAGCGGGCACTTTCAAGATGATGCCCAACTTTCTGACACCTAGCATGAAGTGGGCCCTCTTAAAGCAGATAAGAATATCCAAAAGGGTTAGGTTAGTGATTCTGGCCATAGGAAGGTTTCACTAAGGACAAGTAAAGCAGAACCGACTACTACACCCAGGGCCAAAAAGATGACTCCTGTGATAAAGCAATTGAATTGCTGTTTTAATTCTTAAATAAGAAAGCCTAAGTAGTTTGGTAGATTACTTAGCACTTTAATCAATGAGTATCATTTGAACACTTGGACAATTCATGTATGAACTGGTTAAAAAAATACTTGTGTATCTGTAGCTAGAGAGTTTTCTCTCTGGGTCCCGCCAAGTCCCGGCAGTCCGACAGCCCACTTATAAACACACAGACGCTTATATTATTTAAACTGTTTGGACTAATGGCTCAGGCTTCTTGTTAACTGTTCTTATATCTTAAATTAACCCATTTCTATTAATCTATACTGTTGCTAGAGTTTTCCTGCCTGGCCCACAGTCAGGACAAATCTCTGACACCCGCCAGTCCCACAGCCATTCAGACCCGACCAAGTAAACACAGAGACTTATATTGGTTACAAACTGTATGGCCGTGGCAGGCTTCTTGCTAACTGTTCTTATAGCTTAAATTAATCCATTTCTATAAATCTATACCTTGCCACATGGCTCGTAGCTTACCGGCATCTTCACATGTGGCTTGTCATGGTGGCGGCTGGCAGTGTCTCTCTGCACCCAGCTTCCTGTTCTCTCAATTCTCCTCTCTGTTAGTCCCGCCTATACTTCCTGCCTGGCCACTGCCAATCAGTGATTTATTCATTGACCAATCAGCAACACATTTGACATACAGACCATCCCACAGCACTATACTTTGCCACGTGGCTCGTGGCTTACCGGTGCCTTACATCTTCCTTGTCATGGCGGCCGCTGGCAGTGTCTTTCTGCCTCAGCCTTCCACTTCCCAGAATTCTTCTCCTCCTTGTCCCGCCTATACTTCCTCCTGCCTGGCTACTGGCCAATCAGTGTTTTATTTATTAATCAATCAGAGCAACACATTTAACATACAGAACATCCCACAACATGTATCTAAACCTACATCTAGCATAAATCAGTCTTACAAGTGGAAAGCCTATGCAGCATAATCGTGGCAGTCTCTGCTGCACAGAAATTTATAGAAGGAACAATAGGATATAGCAAACCAAGTTCTGAAATACTGGTCAAGAACCCCAAATACGGTCTGAGATGACTCAGCAGGTAAAATTGCTTGCCACCAATCCTAGTGACCCAAATTTGATCCCTAGGACCTACATGGTGGAAAAAGAGAACAGACTCCCAAAAATTATCCTCAGAATTTCACACATATACCATGTGTGGTGGGTTGAATGAGAATGGCCCCCATAGGCTCATAGATTGAATAC